GCTTAGCCCCGGCCGAAGGGCAGGCACGGAGAAGCAGAAGGGTTTGCTGGATGGCCCGAGTGGAAGGGAAGTGGTAACGGAGGCCGGAAGGCCGACCAGTAAGAACCGTTCTGAGCCCCTTCCCCTTCACTTTATGCCGGCGAGGGCTCTGGGAAGGCTCTGTAGCGGGGGAGCCCCAGGGGACCCCCCAGCCTTTGGCCATGGCCGTCCCTATTGCGGTTCTTGACTGTGACCTCCTGCTCTATGGCCGCGGGCACAGGACTTTGGATCGCTTCAAGCTGGAGGATGTCACGGATGAGTACCTGGTGTCCACGTACGGCTTTCCCCGACAGTTCATTTACTATCTGGTGGATCTCCTGGGAGCCAGTCTGTCCCGCCCCACGCAGCGGTCCAGGGCCATCAGCCCGGAGACGCAGATACTTGCTGCGCTGGGTTTCTACACCTCTGGCTCCTTCCAGACTCGCATGGGGGATGCTATTGGCATTAGTCAAGCCTCCATGAGCCGCTGCGTTGCCAATGTAACCGATGCTTTCGTGGGAAGGCAGTTTATTCACTTTCCGAAGGATGAAGCCACCGTACAGAGCCTGAAGGATGACTTTTACGGGCTGGCAGGCATGCCGGGGGTGCTGGGGGTGGTTGACTGCACCCACGTGGCAATCAAAGCGCCGAACGCTGAGGACCTGTCCTATGTGAACCATAAAGGTCTCCATTCCCTGAACTGCCTGATGGTCTGCGATGCCAGGGGAGTCCTCCTGAGTGCAGAAACGCACTGGCCAGGCAGCCTGCCCGACTGCACAGTGTTACAGCAGGCAGCTCTCACAAGCCAGTTTGAAACTGAGCTACATAAAGATGGCTGGCTACTTGGTAAGGCAATTCATCGTTGTCTTCTGTGACAAGCCTGTTAGATACCGGCTCCTTATTGAGTCTAGAGCCTCTGGGCACAAGTGATATGCTTACTTTTGATTGCTTTCCCACAAATTCCTTGAGGTTTGCGATTCAGTTTGGATGATGCTTCTCTTAGAAGTCTAGAACAGTAACTTCCAATCTGTGTTTTATATCGTTTGATTATTGTATGCATTAGTTTACATTCATTCTGTTAAGAGCTTGTTTTTGGTACCCTACACCTTTCTAAGCTGAATTACGCTCTTTTTAATTCTATGAAGGGTCCTAGTCCAGCTGTCTTTCACTGTATTATGTAGTAACTGAATTATCTTAAAACTCTTCTGTGTTCTTCTAGGATTTCCCTGTGTAAAACTGAATGCCTTTATTTTGCTGTTTGTCACATTTATAAACCTGAATTGTTCTTGCCCTTTCATGCTTTCTCATGCCTTCTGGTTTAGCCAGAGAAATAAGTTATTCTTTATCTGCAGTACCAGAAAGCCAGGGGTCAAGAGCTGAAATCGGTGGTGAACTATAGGTTTGTAACCTGTCTTCCTCCTTTTCTCTGCTAACAGGTGACAGCTCCTTCTTTCTCCGAACGTGGTTGATGACCCCACTGCATATCCCCGAGACACCTGCTGAATATCGTTACAACATGGCGCATTCTGCCACTCACAACGTCATTGAGCGGACATTCAGAACCATTCGGTCGCGTTTCCGCTGCCTGGATGGGTCCAAAGGCACCCTGCAGTATTCTCCAGAGAAATCCAGCCACATCATTCTGGCTTGCTGTGTGCTCCATAACATCTCCCTGGAGCATGGGCTGGACGTGTGGTCTTCGCCGGCCACAGGACACATGGAACAATCGGAAGAAGAGTATGAGCAAATGGAATCAATGAACTCGGAAGCCTGTCGTATTCGTCAGGAGCTTTTACTTACTCATTTTAGCTAGTGTGACAGGGAGAAGGCTTCATCTGGAAGTGGTTCATCTGGGAAGATTTACAGAGCAAACGTGCTCCTTCCTCTTCTTTAAGTCTGTAAAGACTAAGCAGATGTGAGACAAGGAAAAATGGTACTCTCTTCAGGCGGTATTCTGAACCTCTCTCAATCTCTTAAGAGAAGCAGTTTAATTGTGAAATTTTTACTGTTGTGATACTTAGAGAATCCCTTTTCACCTGACTTAGAGAACAGTGACTAACGTGAGACCAGTGGAGAAACTTCGGAAATTGTCTTTGGTAATGATGAAAAATCTGTAAGCCTCACACTGTTTTACAAAGCAACAATTCTATGCCACTTTGTAACCCAAAACACTTGGGATTTATTTTTAAACAGGATTTCACACAAATTAAACTTCCATGTAGGCTCATGTCTGCCATGAATTAATAAGCAGCAAAGCAAATATTTATCTTTTTTGTTTGCAGGTATAAATTCTTGCTAAATACCATTTTGCAGTTTTGCACATCTTGCAAAACCAGTGATCCCTCTGAAAGCTGACAGCTGTGTTCTGCGAGGGGTCTGGCTTTTTCCTGGGTACGCACTGGTGCTTGCACGTACCTAGAAGGTCAAGAAGGGTCGAACGTTTCTTCTTTCCCAAACAGACTGGACAAGATGCTAAGCGATGGTTGATTCTGTCGGTTGCTTAACAGGTATCAGGAAATAGGCTAATGAATGGAAGTCTGGTTCTCACCAGGTACGTATGCCACAACAGAAAACTACTGATCTTGTTAGCTCTGTAAAAGAAATGCCAAGGACTGGCTGGGTCACAAAAATTGAACTGATTGCTAAAGTTCTCCATTTAGATCAGAGCTGAGAGACGGAAAGGCTGCTTTACTGCTGCTGGCAATCTACCTATTCAGTAGAAAAAGATGACTCATGCATGCAGTTGTTGCTGGCACAAGACTGGGAAGTTTCCTGGCAATGTTCTCTTTCCAAAAGATGCAAGTGTTCCCAAGGTTTTCTTGGCAGCAGCCTGAGAAAATTTTGTTTCTTGGATTTTATTGTTTACCAGGCAGTAAATGCAACAAAAGGGGTAGGAAATGCAGAATGCTGTGAAAAGGTAGCTACTTAAAGTAGCAGTGCAACCACCTGGCACGGCAGGTCTGTGTTCTTTTAGAGGAGATCAGCCTGGGTCATACCCCATGTTTGAAGAATAAGAAAGTATGGGACATGTTCCTAAGTGCAGGATGGAGATGCAGGATTAGGTATAGTTTGGCCAGGTTTGCAATGGCAGTAAGAATTTACGATCTTACAGAAAACCAAGCATGCTTTATGGTGTCTAAGCAAGATGTTTTCATAAGCCTTGATGAGAACTGTAAAATATTATGTACAAGAATCTGAAATGTAATTCTATTTTCTTTACACATCTTCTCATGAGGTATCATGTAAGAACTACTGTTGCTCACTGTGGCAAAAACCCTGCTCCTTTTAGCTAGGAAGACGCATACAAGCTTTGTTTTCTAAAAAAAAAAACCCCATTTTTAAGACAAGAGTTGCTGCCGTATATGGTGCCTGATGGCTCATAATCATATCTGATGGTCTGTGCTAAATATACTGACCTTAGACCTAAACAACATCAGATACTGAATGAGCTGCATGGGTGACGCTAAGGTCAAGTGCGACTTGGACGTGTGTAGGTACAAACACTGTCACGTAATAACGAGCTGGAGTTTCTCAACACACACTGTGAATAGCTCTTCTCAGTGTGTGCCGGGACTGGAGTGAACTCAAAGTGGAGCTACTTCCTGGAAGGCATTTGGTGCAGGGTTTTGTCTTCTTGCAGCCACTGTCACCTTTGGTAGAGTTCAATTTTCAAAACTGATCTTGCTGCTTACCAGTTTGGGCAAAAACTGCATCAGACCAATCCATTAAAATCTACTGTTCTTTCTTGAGTCGGATGTCAATACCCCTCAGTTCACTTGGGAAATGGAACTTCCTTGTCTAGAGAACAGTTTGCCCCACATACTCCTAAGCAGCTTCGTTCAAAACAGTTCATCTAGATCTTTCTCTTTTCCCTCGGGTTTAGACAATATTTAGACAGCTGAGATTCATGTTTCTTTCCTGCTTTCTGGCTCCTCTGTACTTCCACCTCACCTTACCAGCTGCATTCCAGAGTACTTACAAGTCTCTGCATTGTCAGCTTTGAAAAGTAAAGTCTACACTGATGGTATAATGTCTGATGTCAACCTTCTGTTGGAAGATGACTGTGACTGACTGTCCAAGGTATTGCAGTTTTCACTACTTGACTAAATCCCTTGTAAAATCCCATCATCAGCCCTTTTCAGTTTTCCCTCAAAATATGTCCTTGAAGGCTCTCTAGCTATGCTGCGGGCTGCGTTTGCTCCCTCCAATCCTGCGTATTACAGCAAACCTCAAGCCCTAAACTTCACTCGTCAGAGCCTTTGGACTCTTTTTCCTTTGCTGATTTACTGATGCAAAGCGGCCTGGCTTCCTTGGGATCTCCTCTCAACAATGAGGTGTTGCGTCCCCCCTCCCCGAGCTCTCGCTCCTCTGGTGCGGCAGCAGTGGGGAGACTGAGCGACTCATGCGGGGCCTCTAACGGTGGGGCGTCCCTCGCACGAAGGGGCTGGAGGTCAATACACAACCACAAATGTTAACACTGCCCCATTTCAGAATCACAGAATGGTTTGGGTTGGAAGGGACCTTAAAGGTCATCTGGTTCCACCCTCCCTGCCATGAGCAGGGACATCTTCCACTAGACC